TGATTGTGTATTAAGTAGCCTGTATGCTTTTTATTTCTCGCCAGTTTCATTTCAAATTAATGTGAATAATCAAGCGAGAATCTAATGTTTGTTTATTATAAAGGATACGGGATATCGCAGCCTGTATCAACTGGCGAGGGCTGGAGAACCGAGGTGTTGTGGTTCGAGTCTGGTAACTAACTCCATGTAGCTGAGGTATTGTTGAGAAGCCGCAAGTCACGCGTCTACTCAAGAACTCCCAAACATTTTGTGGAACCCGAAGGCTCATTAGTGTATTCACAAGAGCCCTACACAGGTCCCTATTCTGAGCCAGATCAGTCCAGTCCCTACTACCGCATTTTGTCTCAGATAAATTTCAATATTATCTACCCGCCTATGTGTTCGTCTTCCTAGTGGTCTCTTTCCTTCTGGCTTCCCCACCAATTGAGTCCCCTTAAGAATTTTCTCCACGTCGTCCAGAGTGGCTCCTGAGCCCACCCATCTACCTACCCAGTGTGCAGGGCGGGGGGGACTACTTCCCCACGGGTAAAGAGGCCGGGACATGAAGCAGACTACTCATCTCCAAGTGCCGAGGTCAAGAGAACGTGGATCTATACATCCACTCCCCCACACGTCTTCATGGCGTAGTGGTTAATTTGTTCGGCGTCGTATTTATTGGGTTTATTTAAAGTAGAGCACCCCCTCAATAATTTCGAAGCAGCACTCCCCTCGTTAGTTGAGTTTTCGTTCCTCTTTTAGTAATAGTAGCGTTTCATTTATATTTTCTTCCACGGAATGCCCCTGCAAGTGTACCCTATACACTGACAACTGAAGCATTTAGCCGAGCGTCAGTTTACGAGTGCAGATTTTCGTGTTGTCTCTTGGGCGACTACAGCATGCGGTCTGGTAAGTTGGTTTCGAAACTGCCGGAGGAACGCGTTGTCTCTCTTCAGGGCAGAGGTCAGTAGTATGAATCAGTTTACAAAATTCGGAGTTATTGCTATCATGGTGGCTCACGGCGTGACGTTTTCGGCCAGATATGTTTGTCCTTGAAGCAAATAAGCTAGGGGACGTAATGCAGTGTGTGGGTGATGGACGGGCGATTTCGTACAGCTTAAGGGACTCTGAGAAAAGTTGACTGTTATTTTTGTGATTTTCGTGTTTTGAGGAAAATTTAAAGAGAAGGAAATAGGCATCCTTTTGGTTTCTACAATGATCAATAAAACACAGCCGGCACATCCGGCCCACTCAAGCGCTGTAGTTGCATAATCACGTGATGTGGATATCTCCCACGTGCGGTATTACTGTGCTTTCATATCTTCAATTTGACTGCAACGCCGAGGTTAGATGTGTCGGTGCAGAGGTTTTGGAACGCCGCCTGGATTATATGCCGCAGTTGTGTACCGCTATAGATGTTACTGATTTAACGATGATATACACATCGAAGTTTGAGCGTCTAGTAAGGCATCTGTTATCATTTTAACTTGTCTCATTTTGGTCCGTGACACTATTAATTACAGAGTAGATAATGAAAAGTTCAGTCCAGTGTGACATACGAGTTTACAACACTTCAGCCCTCATTCGCCTTACATGTTTCGATTCAAAAGAATCATCCTCAGAGGCGCACCACTACGATAAGGAAACACTGTCACATAAGATATTATATAGAGAGCATTAGTCATATCTAAAGTGCATATTGTTAAAATATCTTATGTGACACTGTCTCCTTATCGTAGTGGTGCGCCTCTGAGGATGATTCTTTTGAATCGAAACATGTAAGGTGAATGAGGACTATAGTGTTGTAAACTCGTATGTCACACTGGACTGAACTTTTCATTATCTACTCTGTTATGTTCCCTGCCTCGCATCGAATGGGACCAGGATAGCTCAGTCGGTATAGCGACGGACTGTGGGCTGGATGGCCGGGGTTCAATTCCCAGCATGGCGAGATTTTCCCCTTCGCGGCACCCAACCCCTCTCTGGTGCCCACCCAGCTTCCATTCCAATGGACACCAGGGGCTCTTTTCCCATGGGCTAACGACCGGGGCGTGAAGCTGACCACTCACCTGCACCTAATTCCGAGGTTAAGAATGGTGGAGCTATGTCTCCACTTCCCCATACGTCGTAATGGCTGAAATAATTTAGCGTAGGTACAGCTTCACCTTTTCTTAATCCTTCGCATGAAATTAAACTACGGCACAGTGAATAGATCCATTGCATGCAGTGAATTTCGGAGGCGGGTAAAGCTGGTTGTATTAATAGCTTTTGGTGTCATGGGAACGACTGATTGTGTGCGATGTGTGACGACTGCCGTTGCGCGTCATAGTGCTCCGTCCACCTTCGGGGTAGTAGAATGATTGTCTAAAAGTAAGCGTAAATTCGGGGCGAACCTCTGCTGATGTGGCACAGGATTGGTATAGAACCAGAACAGGGTGCTCTTTGCCTAGTAGAATGATGTTAGTCATCTTGGATGGTAGATTTGCCATTCTGACGGTGGTGGCAGCGCAAGCAGCATGCACAGTGGTTTGCGTGATGGGCTTACGCTTCGACCTTGAAGATGGAGGCATTACGTTCCACCGAAAAGTCTGCGGTCTACCACAGTACCGAGTCACACGCCAGAAAATAAGTACTCGTCTGCATGGGTGCATGCGATTTTCAGCAGAGGCAAATCGTTTTGTGTGAATTTTTGTTTTTGATAGCCTTCCACGTCAGCACTTCGACATTCAGATATCGTATTTTCTCGATTCCTGGGGCCAGCAGTGAGTAAACAAACGGCGCACAGAATTAATGTGAAGAGGTTGAGTCTCGAGAAATTTTGCGAGGCAGTTGATGACGTGGATATTGATTGATAAGGCAGACAGAAATATGTACATACAGCTGAGCCATTAGTAGGTGATCTGAAAAATTATAAATCTCCAGGTAGTGATCAAATTCCGGCAGAACTTGTTCAAGCAGGAGGTGAAATATTACGTTCTAAGATCACTAAGCTAAGTACTTCTATTTGGCATAAGGAAAAATTGCTTGATCAGTGAAAGGAATCTATTATTGTACGAGTTCACAAGAAGGGTGATAAAACTGACTAATAATTATCGAGGGATATCACTGCTATCAGCTTCATACAACATTTTATCCTATATTCTTCTCTCAGGGTTAAGACCATACATAGATTAAATTATTGGGGATCATCAGTGTGGGTTTCGACGCATCAGATCAACTACTGATCAGATCTTTTGCAATCGTCAGATATTGGAGAAAAATGGGAGTACAATGAGACAGTACATCAGCTATTCGTAGACTTCAAGAAAACATATGATTCACTTAGGAGGGAAGTATTGTACAGTATTCTCATAGAGTATAGTAAGTGCGTATAGGTAAACATTTTTTCATATAATTTTCCTATTCAGAATGGTCTGAAACAAGGAGATGCTTTATCGCCACTGCTTTTCGACTTTGCTGTAGATTATGCAATTAGGAAGGTTCAGGAAAACCCGATGGGACTGAACTTAAATGGACACGTCAGCTGCTGGTCTATACTGATGATGTGAATGTACTGGGTGATAAACTGTTCGGTATTTTAAATTTTCAACCCCCCACAGGTGTATTATACATTGTCACACATAACGACGTTCGTAACAAGTGAAATACACAGAATGCTGTCGGAAACTATCTATTTGTTGTCGCCCGACTGGTGTTGTGCATGTGAAGTTTCCTTGCGCGTTAGTCATAATTTTCTACGTCATCAAGCGGAAGACAGGCCTCAATTTAAGAAATTTTAAACCGTTAAAAGACGGTACGTTTTGGAATCGAGTGTACACGGTATTTAGCTTAAAATAGACCATAGTCGTCCCTGACCCAAGCTGTTCATTATCATAGTTAATTCTATTCGGTTCCGTTGTCGAAGGAAACAAGTTCGAGCGGGAGATGGGTACATAATGAGACCCGTTCTTAGAAAGAAGTGTTTGTAGGATTTAATTTTGGGGTATTTAGGGCCATTCATTCAAAATTGCATACGCTTCGAGTTTTTCGAGGCGGTGATTGTTGAGAATGTGGCCTTTTAGACTGCACGGTGTCACCCCCGCCGATATATGAATGTTGGTTCTCTGGCCATCGGGTAGTCATTTTTCTGAGTTCTTGTTCTCATCGTTCTGAATAATCCGTGAAGCTGGAGGCAGCAGATTTCTCCGAACAGCTGTACCTAACAATCAATATGCCATTAGCCGCTTCAAGGGGGTTTGAACCCGGGAAGGTCTTGGTCGTGTAGTGTCGCGAGCGGCAGTGCGTTGCAGCTGGTGCCGAACCTGTAGTGATTCATCTTTACCTTGGAAGTCAAATTCAGCACATGGGCCGCAACTGCACTGCGTATGAAGTAGATGCGTGTTGTGTGTTGCTGTTCTTTGTCTTGCTGCCATCAGTCAAGGCGGTGGATGGTTGCGACATTTTACTGCAGGATCGAGGTCAATGGCTTCGTTTAATGAATCCCTCGCCCTTTTTCCAAGCGAAGTTTTGAACTAAGCGAATGGAGATTTTTTTTGTGTGTGTGAGGATTGTGCCTGGTTTTGGAGCATCGTTATAGACCCACGTCATAATTTGTCATGTACATTATTTTTGCACTAGCTTCAATTTAGGGAAGGCTAATGGTGTACTTTCAGTTCCGAGAACTTACCCTAAAGTGCACGTGTCGTGATCATGGTCATGATACGGACGCTTTAGACTTCCAAGGAGGTCGCTATCTTTCGCCGGAGATAGTGTGTTGAGGCAGGGAGTGTGTTCTGTGGCCTTGAGGTCCACAAATACTGGCACGGGGGCATTCTTTCCTTGCTTTGAAGAAAATTCGTCCTTTTACCGTTAAACTGTGGGAATCTTGTGCAGTGGCTGAGGTTATGTCGTCATTATTCCTCTCCACTTATTCGACCTCCATGCTGTCCTGGCGGCACGCGTGCGTACTTGGCGAGTTGTCGGATTGGTTAGTCCGTGCTAAGGGGAAAGAGAGGGAGCAAGCGCTCAGTGTAGTGTCATGGCGTCACGTGGGATGGTCATATCGTCGCTGCAGTTTTATTAACCGTTTATATAGACTTGGACAGTATGTTCCCACGTACGTTTTAGACTCTGGAAGTTCGTCTTTATGTTGAGAACCGTGGCATGTGTTTGGGGCTTCGGTTAGAACTCTAGTTGAATTTTTAAAGAAGAGCAGAACGGTGCAAGTGAAGCTTTTGTCGAGTGTTTCTTAGCAACCAGGCCTAAGCCCTACCCACGTATCGATTAGTCAAAACTGCATGCCAGCTATCATGCGTTGCTGCAATGGACCAAATCTGAAGTGAACAAAGTGCCAGTGTGTGAATATTTTGTGCTCCTAAAAGTTGGCAGACAAGATGCGCCCGGTTCGCTGCGTCTGACTCATCAAGCATTTGAACTTTGGAACCGCGGGCGTGTGACTTGCGTTAGAGTCTGACATGTCGCCTGCTAGTAACTCTATCTCCTCTACAAGATCTACCCGCTTGACGTCTGAAGCTCCGTATCCCGGAATTTCAACACTTGATCGCTGTGGAATTCCGTGTTTAACTGTACCCATTTTTGTGGGAAGCACTAACCGCTGTGATTAACAGTACGCGTTCACATTCAGCGCACTTCGATCGATGATCCATGGTAGATTAATTGCGGATCGCTGTTTTGGTTTCTGTGTTGCGTAGGTTCCCCAAGGGAATGTATGCGTGGTCAGTGAGTTTAGTAAATCATATAGTTCCTCGTATTGGTAGGTGCCAAAAAAACCTTGCATTTTTTTACTCTACGGTATATTGAAGTGAATTATGGTGTCCCGTTACGGGGGTAGGAAGGAGCCAACAATGCATTGCTTCATGTCTCACAGCGCGCATCCACCGCCGCAACATGCACCCCCGCCCCTCGGACAGTTCCGCATCATCTCGCCTGCGAACACTGGCAGTAAGTACACCCCCCTGCACTGCAGGCTACAGCATCTTGTTCCCCCATGTACTGATTAGCTCCTCCCCTAGTCTGACCTAGTTGTGTCCGACCTGAGGGATGTAGTCAGCTCTGCCACGTAACTTGCAGCGATTTCGAACATTTTCTATAAGTGTTTGATGTGAGTTCCCTACAGATCAGATATTAATGTTGTGGCCCATGAGACTCAGTAGCAGTGATAGTTCCGCAGTCATGGCGTACATTCCGGTTTTTTAGTCCTGTGCCTGTTGCTAGATCAGTTATTGACCAGTTAGATCTGCAGTCATGGCAGACATTCCGGTACCTCAGTCTAGTGCCTGTTGCTAGATCAGTCATTGACCAGTTAGATCTGCAGTCATGGCAGACATTCCGGTTTCCCAGTCTAGTGCCTGTTCCGGTCCCCCAGTCCAGTGCCTGTTGCTAGATCAGTCATTGACCAGTTAGATCTGCAGTCATGGCATACATTCCGGTTCCTCAGTCCAGTGCCTGTTCCGGTCCCCCAGTCCAGTGCCTGTTGCTAGATCAGTCAGTGACCAGTTTCTCATTAGTTAGTAGTTAGTTGTATTGCAAAGTTTTGCAGTTCGAGAGTTGTATCTACTTCCACTAACCCATTGTTGTGCGATATGCCGCGATGACCGCTCTCAGTTCCCGCCACCGCTTGACCGCATTGTTGCAAGAATTCCTGCACTGATTCGTATACCACGGCATTCTTCTGTTGGAGTAAGCACAGCATTGGCCCCCGTTAATTGAAATAATATATTTTAAGCCGTCCGGTATTTTGAATCTGAATTCCATGAATTTTTGTCAGTATGTGATCATTGGATTGGGGACAGTGCAACTGTGGTAACAGTTCAGTAAAGCTCACTGACTTCATGGAGCTGAGCCCTTCTTGAGAAGTTCCCAGTTGTGTAGCTACTCAAGAACTTACCAACATTTTATGGAACCCGAAGGTTTATTAGTGTTCACAAGAGCCCGCCACTGGTCCCTATTTTGAGCCAGATGAGTGCAGGTCATACCACCCGCATCCTATCTAAGATCCATTTTAACATTCGTCCGTCTACGTGTCTTTCCTTCTGGCTTTGCCACCAATATCCTACTTGCATTGCATTTCGTCCTCATTTGTGCTACATGCCCCTTCCATTTCATCCTCCTTGACTTGATCACTCTAATTATACTTGGAGAAGAGTAAAAGTTATGAAGCTCCTCATTATGCAGTTTTCTCCGTCCTCCCATCAGTTCATCTCTCTTCGGTCCAAATATTCTCCTCAACACCCTCAGTCTGCGTACCTCCCTCAGAGAACAAGTTTCACACTCATACAGAACCACAAAAAAAATATATATACTTTTGTATATTCAAATTTTTACGTTTTTAGACAGCAGAATGAGAAGGCAAAATGTTCTGGACTGAATGGTAACAAGCATTGCCCGAGTTCAGTCTCTTAATTTTCTCCTGATCAAATTAAGATCTTTTACTGTTCCCGAATATTTGAAATGTGCCCCATTTTGAAGGCTCTGTTAGCAATCTTTATGCCATAATTTTGCCCTGCATTCTGGTGACGAGACAGCAACATATACTTAGTTTTCTCTGCGTTACTTCTAGACCAACCTTACTAGTGTTAAGTAAAATTTCTGTGTTTTACATTATGATATCTGTGTTATCACCCAGTAGATTCACATCAGCCTAGACCAGCAGCTCGTGTGTGGACCATTTAATATTAGCCTCTGGTTTTCCTGGACCATCCTAATGGCATATTATAAAGCAAAGTTGAAAAGCAGTGGCAATAAATCATCTACTTCTTTTTGACCATTCTGGATTGGAAAATTATCAGACAAGTCTTTACCTACGCGGACTTTACTATACGTTTCGTTTAAACTCGTTTTAATCAGCCTAACTAGTTTCATGGGTACCCCAAACTCTGTGAGAAGTGTACAGTACTTCCCTTCTAACTGAATCGTGGAAGGGTGAAGAGACGAAGATGCGGACTCGCGCTTGTTGGCAGTATTACAGATTTCTCCAAGTCTGTGGTACCTCCATCGTCACTGTCGATCGTGAACTACCGCGAAACCCCGAAATTCGTAGTGAGGAGAGATGAGAACTCCGGGAAAAGAGTTTCTTGAACTTACTTGCACGTTATATGGAAAGTTCAGCTTGTGCTTGCTTGTAGATATAATCACTAGACGCTTGTACGTGAATTCAAGTGCTCTGATAATCGAGATTGCTAGTCATGTGGCCAAGTGCTGCGTGACGTATATGTTCCAGGTAGTGTAATTGCTCTGATAATGTGAATTCTCAGAATTTCTGGGTTTTCGAACTTTGTCCAACTAGCAGACGTTTCGAAAACTCCATTTCAGTCCGCAGCTGAGGGACGAGACGTTTTGTCTGTTGGGCCCCGTAGAAAGAGCTAACCTCAATCACTGGACAGTCCGAAAACCCTGTAATTCGGAGTGTTATACACCATCCTGAGAACCCTTTAGGGTCTGTAACATGAATAAGTAAAGTAAAGCTAAGCTAAGCTAAGCTATCCGTGTAACAGGCCGTGGAGGCCCGTAGGGTTTTGAGATGATCAGTTTTATACCAGGCTGCCGTTGTAATGTCAGTAGACCTGTCGCTGCTGTTATAGTCAAGTTGTGACAATAGGAGATGTGTATACGAGTATGTGATATGGATGATTTCGTTGTTGGGAGGTTATCATTTGATATCCCTCTTTATCTGGTTCAGTTTTCCTGCATTTGCAATCGTTGTGTGTATTGGTTGTATGCTAAGGTAGTATGTGGGATGAGAAATTCATAATTGTGGCCTTGTAGGTTTATGATATTCGTTTGGTACGTGAGCCGTACAGTTTCGGAAAATATGCTGTCTCCATCTTCAGGGTTCACTTCAGACAGCATGAGTGTCCGATACCATGGTTCCCACCGACCAAACTACACGGTATCGTGTTCCAAAAGAGCACAGTAGGAATCGTCACCACCTTAAGAACATCTTATAGATATGTGAATTGTATACAAAATTTTTAATCGGAAACCTGAAGAAAGTGGACTATGTGGAAGTCCTGGGTTTCGATTCCAGAATAATATATTGATAATGTGGAATATAAACAACGCCCGTAGCTAGGCAGCATTCTAACAAGCACTAGTGTACTAACTGGAAGAGATGACCTTTACGCGGTCCTTTCGACAGCTGGGTAAGTCGTGTTTGCAATGCAGTCCGTGCCGAGGCGTTATAAGCAGGACAAGTCTAGAGTTTAGTTGCTTGCGAGACATTCGCCGGCCAGTAAGGACGTGAACGAGGCAGCTGAGGGAGGTACGGCGTTGGAAGCCGATACCAGGCAACGCCTGGTGAAAACGCAGAAGACCGAATAGACTTAGTGCGTACGGTAGTGAATTGTACAGTGTGGATTAGTGATGGCGCTATAGTTACTTGTAGTTAAAGTTTTACCCATGCAAACCCCGTCTATAGTCACTCGTACGCTAGTATTGATGTTCCCACTGAGAACCCTTCAGAATTGGATGTCTGTGTGTGACTCGGGACAGGGTTCAGTGGTAGCCTTGAAAGCAGCAGTGTGCTACTACTTGCACAAAGGAATGGAATTTTTTGACGAGGTGAACGGCTGTTAGCTTCTCAATAAGAGCTGCTGCTGTTTCAGAGCAACGGTAGCTTAATATAAAACCCAGTCTTGAGTAAATATGCTTTGTGGATTTGAATTGGTTCAGATATTCCAGGGCCTTGTGAAGTGTTCCGCTCTGGACATGCAACCTGCGCCATTCTGAATGAAAGCAGAGTGGCCGTTGCTAGTCGTTGGAAACACATGACCGTATCTTTAGCCCTTTGCACCGTTCATCTCTCAGATGTGTCTATGATTGTGTCGTGGATTGTACATAGCCTAGATTCCTGACTGGTGCAACTGCACGTATCGATTTTTGTGTCCCACTCTTAACCCTCGCTCCCTTACTCCACGCCCAAGCCGTAACTTACCCCTTTCGAAATATTGGCCTGAGGGCTGTTGAACTGATTTCCCCGCAGGCGACGTGGTCAGCGTGTCTGTGACGTGGTTCTGGTTCTGTTTGTTGTCTTGATTGATTGGCTCGTTCAAGACAGCGCACGAGGGTCACTCAACACCCTTCCAGAAGTTGGTCCTAAAGACGGCGGGTGTTAATTTACGTGACAATCCGCTTCTAAAAGTAGGGACTTTGTGGTTAGGGACCGGTTCTCAGAAACAGTAGCCTTCATTCAGAATTATGCCCTGGGGTGGATGATTTATGTATATCGCACAGTAATAATGAATGGTGGAATATTTTGAGACGGTTTCTTGGATTTCCTTGTGTCAATTTGAGGAGTTTTCGATCGTGCATGTGGCTCGTTGCAGCGCATGTTTCACGTGGGGTTCTAAGTTCTGATTATCCAGAACTGACATCCGTGAGTTGATGTCGTGTAGTTCGGTAGTTCAGCGACGTCGTGGAGGAACATACTCCCCCAATTATCTTTGTGTTGTCTGCATGGCTTACTGTTCGAGTCTGTAAAGTTGGAGTCATCACTCTTCTTCGAAATGTCTGTGAACTTTTGTCAGACCACATGGAGTCACATCCCAGAGGGCAGCGCTCTTAAAAGTGCGAACTCCATGTTGTGAGAATAAACGGGTGTTATCGAATACTTTTCCAAGTGCGTTCTGGCCGCATCCGCCACCGAACTCACTGTCCACTACTTATCCATGGCATTTCCGGCGGACAAACCACCTGAGGCTAAAGTTGCCAGCTCATCTTCATCGAGCGCAAAACATAATTCCTGGAGCGTTGTCTCTTCAAGTACATATTCATAAAATCGTGTCCTGCTCAGTGGGATACACGTCTAATGCCTAGAACCTTGTGTTGAGATGGAAGGGGGCCACGGAGCTGGTTATTATTTCACTTGTCAGAAGAAATTAGGTTGTAGACATGCGTTTGCAGATGTTTGGAATACCAAATAATGTTCTCTTTGCGCATAAAAG